TAAAGAAGATTAAAATGCGATTTACGAGAGAAAATAAGATATTTGGTTGTTAATAAGACACAAAACTAAAATATTATGTTGCTTATGAATATAATTTCTCTATTGATGATCAATTTACAAATTTTTAAGAAAAAAAGTTCATACCGGATCTTATAAATGAAAAATTTCACTATAAATTGCAGCAAAACGGCTACTGAGACCGACTACTTATGGCTTCATCAAATGTCAATAATGCTTAAAAGCCATATCTAATTGTCGTTTTGTATAGAGTATTAAAAACACTTGCCTTGGCAATGAAAAACACTCAGAGATAATTTTCTTCAACATTTTGTCGGCGCTTAATATTTCCATTGCAGCTTTTTTTATCACACAAAATGCTGCGTTTCCTTTTTTTCTGTGTCAAATTGACATTTGAGATGTTTTTGTGACATAGAGCAATTTATCACTTTTATGATGTGATGCTAATCTTTTGGGTTAGAAATAGAAATATAGACGGCGACATGTGATATCAGTTTTCAGCTCAAGTCTTGTACCGATTACGTCTGACAACAAGTCAACATGTCCAGTCATAAAGTAGACAAACTCATTGAGACCTTTAAACTTATTTACATTTTTTTTATGCTGTTGAAACAAACATCGACACAAATAATAATAAATAATATGAAGAAGTAAACACAAAATGTAAAGGAAAGAAGGCTTGGGTCGCAAAAGATAAACAAGCAAAAGGAAAGAAATGAAACGAAGCTTGATTGCAATTAAATTGTCAAGTTAATGATTAAGAGTTAAATAATTGTGCAGCAATTGAGCGGAGTAAAAGAAAAATTGGAGCAATGTCATTATGCTGGCCTTCCATAATCACACTTAATGTATATTATAAATCACAAAATAATCTTCATGAAATTCTCGTGAAATGCAACGGTAAAATTTGTGAGTGTCAATAAATATTTGACTTAACTTGAAATCAAGAAAAAGAGAGTTCAAAAACACCTTTATTGAAATTCATGATCAGACCCAGCATGAAAAGGCACAAAGAATATTTCTCTCGGCACGCAGAAAAAAAGTCTTTTTTTTTGTCATCGCATTAAAAAAAGAAGCAGAATAAGTTTATTTTATAGCACAACTCGGTCTTTTTTGTACTGATCGAGGAAAATAAAAGCAGAAAAAAGCATCGTCTTTTTGGAAATTGCTGAAATCCAGTTCTGAAGATCAGGTTTTTTAACCGAATAAATTAGTGACAGGCAGTGCGCAAGAAAACTTTGTTTCTCTGTCTTACGGGAAATTTATTAGTGCAAACTTTAGTGACCCAAATAATTAGCTTAATAGAGCTTCAAATTTACATGTTCCTTACGGGTTTTTAATTCGAAAATCTCGACAAAATCTTCTAAGGCAGTCAATCATTGTCGATTTATTGCTATTGAGTAAAATGAAACCATTAATGCAAATTTTGTCCCGAGTAGCACAATTCTCTTGCTTTGTCAACTCTCAATTTGAATGTCAACTGTTAACTCCGAATTATTTGATAGAACTCACAATGTCTGTGTAATGCTGATAATTGGTCCAATTCCAACGCCAATTACTCTACAACCATTTACATGCTAATTATCATTAATTTATGATTTGTCCTAACAACTACATGTTCAATGATCAAGCCATATAACTGCTATGCCAAACTTCCCATCATGATTATGACATATGAGCAACCATATAAAATCCATTCTTTAACTTACTACAACTCGGCTATGCAAATTAGCCAAAACATTTTTATTTTTTATGAATTTAAAATGAATTGATTTGAGCTTTATGATGCCAATCTATTGATCAGATGAACGTAAATTATTTGAAAAATGTAAAAAAACATTTCTTTCGATTAATTTTTGCATAAAATTCACGATCATTGACTTAAAATATAATTTTTTGGTGAAATGCTTTGCTCGTGTTTAACTCAACAAATTTTCTTTGTCGATTAGGAATGAATTGAAAGAAAAGAAACATTCAAGTTCAATGCCTGCAAAATGATACTCTCACGTCTAGGATTGAATGGACGAATTATTGGCTATATATTTTTATACGTTTTACGGTGATTGTGTCTCTCACTTTTTATTTTTTTTTTTTCATTTGACATTCAAGCATCTCCATAAACAAAATTTATTCGGCAAAATTGCAAATTAATTTTATCTATGGAAACGGAAGTAATTCTTTAATGTGTTCAGCTTCACATGGTGAATTTCGAATATTTTCTTCGGCAAATGAATAAATGCGCGATAATGCTAATGATGATAATTATTATGACTCACATGAATAACAAACAATACACAAAATTATTGATGATTGTCGAATGTCATGTCAGCAGCAGTGATGCGTTCCGTAACACTGACTTTGAAAAAAAAAATATATATTTTTTATTATTTTCATACGAAATTAAAATTTTAAATTATTTTGGGAAGAAGAACTTCCTCTGCATGCGACTTTTTACGAAATTAATTAATTAACGAACATTTCACTTTAATTAAAGAATGGGGAAAAAATAAATCATCACATGATGACAATCAGCATGACACTTCCACTCAATTTTTGCTTAATTTCTGTCCCGAATTTCTTTTTTTCTGCCTCGACTCTTCTGTTTTTGGCAATATATTTTTTCCATCTACCTTCTCAATCTTTTAATTTAATGAATGGATAGCGATGAAAGAACGAAAAAGACATAGGAATTGCCGTCATAATGTCTGTGTAGATAAATTTGATTCTCAATAACATTCATTAGTCGCTTTTACGACACTTTGTGTTCATATTCCAAATATGATGAGACATCAAATTGTGCATTTCCGCTCTCGAAATGTTTATTTGTGTTATATTTAAAACAGGGTTGGAGTTGTGCTGATCAATGGATTTGCTTCCGGAATTGTGTATGTTTTATTTAGTCTAGGGGCTTCGGACACTAGTTCTTGTATGCTTTACGAAATTTTAAAGTAGTTTTGGACAATTCGTAGAACTGACTTATCAGTTATTTTCTTACTATTTGATATGAGAGAATAAGTTCAGTTATTACGTATGTTTGGTTGTGCGTACCAAATGATTTAAAACAATCCTAAGAAATTCTTACTTTATCTTATCTTCCTGTCATTCCATTTAGATGAAAACATTCACTGGAATCCCCATTTCGACAGCAGATTAGGAAGCATTAAATTCTTTCTGATAAAAATCAGTCCAATCACCTCTTTATGACGATATTCAGCAAAAATATAAATTTATTGACTCGAGAATATTCTTTACAGCCATAAAATCCCCGAATACCATTAAAAAGAATTCAATCGACCATAAAAAAAACGATAACTTCACAGTTATTGAAAACAAAATCTGCCACTGACATTATTAGCAACTAATGTTGCCAATTCTTGACTATCCAAAACTACTTCCAATGAATTCGTTACTGTTTCTCATCAGAAAATTGCTATTGACAGCAGTCAATGGTATAAACAGCTTGCATGCAGTGTAAAAATTACTTGAATAATCAGCGGGCGGGAATAGCTATTATGAATGTACAAACTTATTCAACTCTGCTTTAATATTAATAATAATAATGATTGTAATAAAATCAAAGATGATAAAAATTGGAACAACAAATTTAACGACTGCATTACATCCAAATTTGGATGTTGATAATCATCTTTCTTCCATTATTTACTTAATCAATTTAATTTATCCATTGATTTACTTATTCTCGTCACTTCCTTGTTTAATGGAATGTTGAGACATAAAACTAATGGAGTGAATTGTAATTTACACTCAAAGACTTCAACTTGTAAGTCAGTAAGTCAAGAAGAAAAGAGTCAATGAAAGCAGAAAATTGGAACAAATTTCATTAATGACTAGTGACGTTTGAGGGTTAAATTAAAATGAAGTCATAGACGAGAGATGAGAGAAGAAGAAGAAGGAGGAACCAAAATAATTTCATTTTAATATTGCTTACCATAAGAAAATTTAATTAAACTCTGATTAGACATCACAACACGATACGACAACCCAAAATTTGGTACAGAAAAAAATAGTGAAATTTTTTATTAGTCGTTTTTGTCGATTAACACAAAAATAGCATCGCACTGCATGGGCATTCAATAATCGATTTAACGAAGGCATTCACTTTTTTTAAAGAAATAAAAAAAAGTTTATTGATTGTAAATCTTTAACACGGTTACGAGTGTCTTATGCTGCTTATGATCACATTTTATTCTTCATCTTTTAGTATACATGATTGTTGCTCTGTTTGTTCGATTAAATATGAAATGTTGACTACTTAAAATCAGGGTTGATATCTTGATATGACTCAAACTGAATCAAATATTTTGAAATTCATTTTGCTTTTTTACCAGAAAAATCTGATGTTTTAGCGACATATTCTTAGATTCTGCACAAATCCACCTGTGTTAACAACCCTGCTTGGAAGTTAAAAAATCAGGGCGCAGTTTTATTGTTGAAAAAATACACAAATTTTTTTAGATTAAGAAAATTGGCAAGCAAAAAAAAAAGCTAATGTTGATGAAAATTTCGAGATCATGTTTCACTTGTTTGTTATCTCTCGCTGATTTAAGAAACTTATGAAAGTTGCAAACATTTAACATGCTGCCAACGGGCATTGAATTAATAACGATAATAATTGCTCATTGAATTTATCTTATTTTTTTTTATTTTGGGTATGAATCTAATGACGTATAATAATGGAAGAAATATGTGAGAAAGTATGTCAAAGTCATGGATATTAAAAGCCATTAATTCAAAGTTATAGGTTGATGACTTTTAATCACTTTTGTTCGATGAAGATCTTATTGAAGAAAATTATCTTTTATTAGACATTCTTTGTCCATTGTTATCGATGCATGAATGAAAGTTTTACAATTCACACATTCATTGATAATTAATAGAACTTCAATTAGCTGAAAAAATAACAAAAGTGCTGATTAGTTTATGACATCAATTCATTAAACATTAATTGACAATTTTTTTAGGCTTTTTTATTTATTGTGCTAATAAAGCTTCAATTCGAACAATTTCTCAGCATTTTTTTCCCGTGTTAGATTTGGCTTGGAAATTAGCAACACCATGGCATGGACATAGCGGATTGATATATTTCATATCTGATTTCACTGTTTGCTGTTGCTGTATAACTTCAGGATATGCTTCACGAGATTTTGGCAAGCCAATATTTTTTGGACACTCCTCGCATTTTTGTCGATTACTAAACCTGGTAAAATATTCAGCGGCTTTATGAACGACTTTTGTTTCTAACATTGCTGTAGCTAATATTGCACATGCTATTCCAATCATGAGGAAATCCGTTAAATTTGCTGAGTTTTTGCCATTCGAACTTGGGAACGCATTTCCGATTAATGAGTTTAAATGATATCTAATGCTGAATAAAAGTCCCATTGATGTCTCCGATATCGTAAAGAACAAGAGCAGTTCGACAAATTGCATTGAATAAAATCCAGTCTCATTATTCGGGCACAGCTTAATTTTGTTCAGAAATAATCCCACTGATGCAAGAACAATCAGGCTCGCTATTGCTATTACTCCAATTTCAGAGTCTGGCAATTTTATCAACAGTGAAATACCAAAATAATAGTGCATGACTGCAGTTATTACTATAGCAATGAGTTGTGTTATCATGGTTTTAGCTTATTATGACAAGACGAGAAAAGAAAAATCTGAAATAATGCGGAAGAAAAGTTTTGTAAAATTATTGCAAGAAATCCAAGAAATATAAAAATAATTTGTCATTTTACCCGAAAAGAATGAGACACAAGAAAGCTCAGCAAGGTTGAACGAGAAATTTTTAAAATTATAACAAGACGAAGACAAGACAAAAAATGTGTAAATTTGCGTAGCAAAAATAAATCAAAAAAAATGAGAAAATTAAATTTGAAAAGCTTACTGAGATATTTATAATAACCTCAGTGCGAAAGAATGAAAAATTAATTGTTTATGGAAATGATTAATTATTTCTGCTCATTGAAACCGCTATAAACATGTTTACGATTTATTACTAATGCATAGAATTGATTTCTTATGATATTCCGTTATCCTTTTATTTGTCTGTCATGGAATTTATTATTTCGCATCTTATTTCTTATTTGAACAGGTGTTTGACTGTTGAGAGTAAATTATTATTATATGAAAGATCTTTTTCTCCTCTTTTCTTCATTGTGCAATAACTGCAAATATTTTTATTTTATTTTTCATCAGCATGTACTGTATTGCAATGATGCGAGTAATTTGCTGACCGCAAACAAACTCATGCAATGATTTTTCCAACTATCTTCTCATCTTTCATCTTCGTTTACTGGTTTTTAAATATGAAATAAAAAAATTCTCATCAGTCACATTGTTAATCTCATCCCAATGCTAAGTATTCATAAATTTGACGCTAATTTCGTCATGGGAATCTTGTTTAATCGATTTTATATCCATTTTATTCAATAAGATTTAATTCAATGGTAAACGATGTAAACTTGAATTGTATGTATGAAAAAAAAAATAAAGTCACTTGAGGCTGTGTGGCAGTAAAGAAATATGCCGAAGAAAATTGAGTAATGAAATACTCTTTGGTCTAACAAGCTTGTCGTTCATTTAACTTCTTTCTTTCTCTTCCCTCCTTTAAAGTATGCCTTTTCATATGCTTCAATGAATTTACATCTTAAGTTGATGTTTAGCTTTATTTTTTCTTCATTCTGTCTTCTTGATTCCAACTTCATGACAATGTCTCAGGTTACGAGAGAGCGGTGAAGAGTATCGAAAAAGGAAACCACAAGATATTGTTGAATTAATTGATAATTCATGTATCAATCTTAAATGCAGTAAAATGAGGAGAAAAAATATGCAATAGAAACTGAATACATGTGATTATGACTTTCTGCAGGCATTTCTTAAACTCTTTTTACTGCCTTTTTCATCTCCAATTGAATGAAATTAGATATTAATTTAATTTCATAGTAACATAAAAGTATCTCTAACAACAACAGCATTACTTTTAATTTAATTTAATTTTTATCTCTCAATGGATGTGATTCAGGCAGGAGTGCATTTAGATTGCATTCTTGTTTCATAGAGCACGAGCCTGACATGAGTTGTGCAAAAATGACGACAAGACTTCACTTCGAGATTTCCTTGATTCATTGTTAAATCAAAGATCTTAATCTAATCAATGCAAGCGCTTCTTTGTGTCTTACAGTTCTCAGTGTAGTTTCATATTAACATGCTCTCCTCTCCCATTAATATAGTACGCCATAATTTTGATGCTGGGTTATAAGTCCAGAAAATCAAAGTGACTTAAGGTTTATAAGTCCAGATACAAATTGCACCTGGAATTAAAAACCTCTCGTGCAGTTTATAATTCCAGCTGTATTTGTACCTGGACTTATAAATTGCACGTGAGGTTTTTAAGTCAAGGTGCAATTTGTATCTGGACTTATAAACCTTTAGTCACCTTTATTTTCTGGACTTATAATTTTCTGTGCACGATTTTTGTATCTGGACTTAAAATCTCTGGACTTATAACCCAGCATCCATAATTTGATGTCTAGAAAACTTGAAAATTCCTTTAAATACACCTCTGCTGTACTCACATATACCAGTTCCATGTAGATTATGTTTTTTTTTTGACAATCACGTAAATACCCTAAAGATATAGAAACGGAATGAAGATTGAAATAAAATAAAAATATCATGCTATATTTAAGCAAAAAAAATTTCTTCACATGATCTTTATGGATTTTTATGAGCATAAATTGCAGGTGAGAAAGTCTGTGCTTTTAAGAAATGACTGACACATGAGGAAATTACTATACATACTCTTGACTTTGACCTTCTTTCCCTCATCCTCCATCAATATTTTTTTTCTTCAAATTTACTCGAATGTAATTTCCACAATGTAATGTGGAAACGAACCAGCAATTATTGATAAATTCAGCATTTCATAGGTCATGGGCGTAAAAGCATAAAATTTGCAATGCTTCATAAAATTTCTTTACTTTATTATTTTTGTTTTGTTTCATATTTTTATTATTTTTGAGGTGTGTGCAAGCATGAAAAATTTATAAAATCTAATCGATTTGGCCAACGGTGCCGCTTTTGATCAGAAATCAATTTCTAATGTTGGCATTTATGTGAAATTAATCGTCTCTCTTATTTCTCCCTTCCAAATAAACACAAAATTTACTAATTCTTTTTCTTGTCTATTTGCAGATCTCGAATGTTGTCTAATATCATCACAAAAGAAGGTAAGTCAATGGCTGATTATAATGATTGTTGAAACAAAGCAAATCATTAGCTTTAAACTATCTATGATGATGATGATGATACTGCTCATTAATGATGTTCGATTAATCAACATTTCTATTACTTTTCATACTGTTTTCGGTTGAGTATCGTTAATAGCAGTGTGGAAGCAGAAGCTTAATAGACATAAGGCAGTAGAAAACGAAAATTCATTGCCAAATCCCACGACAGAAAAACAAGGTATAAACATATAAATTGAGCATTTACGCAGAAAAATAAACGAGAAGAGGAATTGAAGAATTGTAAAAATTGTGTCAGGAGGTTTTTTTTTTTGAATGTCTCTTTTTGGCTGTGCTTATGCTCGGTCCGATCTTCTCTTAATAATAAATGAATGGATATATGAATGAATGAACGAATAAATTATCCGGAAGGCAGAAAAAAAGTAAAAATTACAAGTGAAATGAAATTCTACTGTAGCACTAGCCAGTTAAAATTTGATGTAAAAAACCAGTTCAGCATATTTGGCACTTACGATATATTGCCGCATTGGTCCAGTTTTCACTTGATAGTATCTTTTAGTTATTTTTGGATACATCAATAAACGAAAGAAAGAAAGAAAGAAAAGAAATAATAAGTTTGATGGTGAATGTACACTTGATGCATAAATTTCATGTGTTTTTCTCTGCTCTTAAAAATTATTATATTTATTTTATATTGAGCAGCACCTGTCATGTACAGTAAAATGCTTTTTAAATCCATAAAGAATGCTTTCAAATCTCTTTATTTTTTTTCTTCTACTTATTTTTTTAACATGTCTCAACCCTAATCGTACAAATATTCATCTGAATAAATTTATTTCATTCTCATAATAAGGGGTCGTTAGCTAGTGACGTTCCGCCAATTAACGAGAAAAGGAAGGTCTGAGGTCGAGAAACAAGATTTTCAATGAGATAATAATGAGAAATGTCTTAAGAATTCTATATTTGCGATAGACATCACTTGTCAGTGACCTACAAGATTATTTTATTCCTATCTGTATATTTATATGTCTAAAAGTCTTTAGACTCTAAACTGTCACAGATCATTTCCACAATCTAATCATCGTCAAGTCTCAATCTTAAGTCTAACATGTTATTATAATTTCTTTACCTTCTTTCTCGCATTATTTGAGTTTGGATATTTTGATTAATGACTATATCATTCCTATTTCTATGATTTCAACCTGAAAAATATAGACGTTTTGGAATAGAAAGAAACCAAAAATTTCATCATAGCTCGTAAAATCGCATTCTCATGACACAATCATATTGGCAAATGTGAATAAATATTTGACCTGGAAATTTTTACGTTTCTATTTTGATTTATGAAAATAAAGTTTTGTGTTAAAAAAAGCATTCCACATACGGAAATTTAAATTTACTAGCAATTAAAAGTAGAAAGCTCTGCCTTCACTTATGACTTATCTTCTTCGTATTCTTAATTTTTTTTTTGCGAGTTGATGAGAACTTTTTCTCAGTTTGTAGGAGAATAAGAAGGAAGTTGTTCATATTTTGTCCATTATCTTGCAGACTTGATTTTGTTAATTTTATTGATTTCGGAAGTCAAAAATTTTATTGTGAAGCTTTTATGGGATTTATCCTTCCAAGTTTTTGGAGATAAATTATTATTGCTGCATTATTGTGAGAGATATTGCTGAAATGTTTGCCAAATGTGTATTAACGCAGTTGATCAGATCGACAAATATTACATCTAAGATATTGTAAAGCAGAGGTTCGATTCCTAAATACTTATTAGAATTATCAATTTTATTTAAGCTAATTGTCTTTTTTTTTTGTTTTGATTGACAATGATATCTTTTTTGATACTATTATCATTCTTAATTCCCATCCAAACCTGACCAAAATTAGAACTTCACAGCTCATACCTAACTTAATACCAAAATATGTAATAGCCTCAAACTAGAATTTCGTTTTGTCTGACTTAAAAATATTATTATGAATATAAATTACCCATTACATATATATTATGCATTAATTTATGAAAATTTAAAATAGTCATCATAGTTGCGCGTTTGTCGATACATTTAATATGTAAATTAGTTTTTATAGTAGAATCACTTCCATTTAACAACAAAAATCGCCCTTAGATGAGCCATTTGGATGCTAAAGATGCTCATATCAAGTTCTGTTGATCTTGAACGATCTTTAACGGTTTTTATTGTGCCTAGCGTGAAACAATTTTTGACATATCCATCAGTTGCCTTTCAATCATCTGTCAAATTATTCTAAATACTTTCAACCTATTATGCTTAACACCTACTTAAAAATCATTGAATATTCAATAAATTACCTGCAACTGATCAATGCTTACCGGTAGTAAAGAAAATAAGCTTTTATGCCTGCTTAAAAAAAATCTCATTTCAATATTTTCATTCATAATCCGAAAAATTCAAATTTTGATCTGCGCTGTTCTTACTGATCTTTCTGCTAGCATTTTTCACTTCTACAATTACCTCTTTAAATGCATCATAATAATTACGACTCATAACGATGATCTCGCTACTAATTTAATGGATCTTTAAAAAAATTCTAAAGAAATGTTTAAGGAGAACTAATGATTTCTTATTGCGGCAATTTAAGAAGCTTGAATAATAACATGAACATTAACCGTTGTAAAGATTCATATCTTGCACCAATTAAAAAATATCTGTGTACTTTTTTTTGGAAGCATTTACGTGCTACTGCTACTGTTACCACATGTTTTCTTTTCTATTTATTGAATTTATATGTACATACTTATGCTGCATAATATATCGACAGCGAAATATCTAAAGAGCGATAAAATTGTAATGCACATTTTGCCAATGCTTTATTTGTGAGAGAGCTTTCTCGATTCCACTTGATGTAAGAGAAATAATAATAAAAAAAAAAAGTTAAATGAAATGAATAAATTTTGATGTCGATAAGAATTTTCAATTGAAATGGTTGTGTACAGCAGCAATAACTAAAGCACGAAATGTAATTTGCAGAATAATTTCGCTCTCTCATTTTTATTTCGTGTGACTATCAAAAAAAAAAAAATTTTTAAAGAAAGTATGTGATGGCATAGGATGTAAGCGCATTTAAGCATTAGTAGGACCAGAGTAGTAGCTTGGATTATAGATCATCTGAGGTATATTCCTAAATTCTATTTCGTCCTTCTTAAAGAACGTCAGAAATTAAGTTTTTTTTTAGTATCTATATTTTTTCTCATTAAAATTTTAACCTTGTTCCACTTTGAACCTCCTGACCTCCTTTTCTCTCTTAAATAGCTTATAAATTACATTAAATTGTTTGCAATTTCTAGACAACCAAATTCTTTTCAACCCAAAACAAACTGTTGCAAAGAGCAATTACTTTAAACAGACCAACAAGACAGCCTCCTTCCCTCAAAAAAGGGAAAATGTGCTTAAAATATTTATTTTCTTAAACAAGCAAAAAAAATGTAGAAGAAAAACAAGTCATTTGGGATTTTAATTAATGCAATATAATGTCAGATTAACAATATGCGATAAAGTGTAGAGAAAAATGTAACGACATATTGAATAAATTAAACTTTCCAAAGTAGCAGCAGCCACGAACGGATGAAGAGAGAAAATATACTTTTTTTCTTATTCTCTTCTTCTTATTTGTAATTGTTTGTGATAAGCGCAATTAACATTCCATTTGTTTATTTCAAGGCACTTTTACTCGTTACCTTACTACTGATAGTTCTGTGATAAAGAAATTCATTGTTATTATTGACAATGATCATTGAGATATGTGTGCGTGAGAAGAAATGCTAAAACAATGTGGAAGTGTTTATGAATTTTCCATTTCATTTCGAGTGCGTAAATATTTTCAACAAATACTGTTCGTACGGTGAATGAGTGGTGTCAAGTTGAAAAGTTTTTTTTACTCATTTTTTTCGAAGTCTTAATTTGACTGATTATGTTATTTTCAGTTTGTCTTATTGGTTGACTGTTCTTGATGGTATATCTGTTTTAGATTGTGGAATTATTTTAAGTATGTACTTGTAATGATGATGGTTGTGTCTTATTGCTCCACTTTTATGGTGTGGCAGGAATGCAGTGCAGTCTGTGCCAAATGGTATATTTCAGTCTGGATTTTTGTACTCTGACGTGACTTACTTAAAGTGGCTTAAAGTGAGATTTTTCTCATTCGTGTGAGTTCAGTTCAAATTCCATCTTATCAGATTATTGTTAATTTTTGCTCATTAATCTTGAATGAAATGAAATTTCGTGAAAATGACTCAGAACTTGGATTAAGGACCGTGCTTTACAAATAAACCTGAAGCTTTGATTTAGAGCTCACTAAGGGCATTCTTAGGACTAACCTCATGGAAAAGTCAATTCAAAACATCAAAACTTCAAAAGTTTTTAAAAAAATTTCTCCTGAATTCTTTAAAACATTTCAACCAGCAAAAAACCAAAGATCAAGATATCAAAACAATCAGCCATGATAAATTGATCTCAGCTGCGATAAAATGCGCTTTCATGTCTGACTCATTCCTCTCCATTTGTTCTATTTTTCCCTTCATTCATTTAAGTCATTATCACAAAACTTCCACATTGTTTGTCTTAAAAAGAAACAAAAGGTACGAGAAGAAGTGAAAATGAATTCAAGTAGAGAGAGAAAAATTTCTTTTTTGCACTTTGTTGCATGCGCTTCTCATCACATAATTGCCTCATATCGATGTTATTAACTAAAAGGTAGCAATAATGAAATTCTCAAATGTATTCATGAATGAAAGTTTTTTATTTAAAATTTATGCTACAATCGGCACTCGTGTCGTGTACATATCTTTAAACTCTATTTTCTTAAGGTCAAAGTATTAGCAATACAATTTTCACTTTCATGGCGCAGTAGAGTCAGTAGTAGATGCATCAGATTATTTATAGGTCGAATATCGAGTCGTTACGTTAATTTATTGTGCTAGTTATATTCTTAAATGTTTGTCATAATTTTCACTCATTAGAATATTATTGCACTTGCCTCTCTCATTTTTTTTTACTGTTTCGATCGATATGATTGGGGATTGTTCGTGAATAACATCTAAAATTAAGTTTTTAAAAAATGGAAAGGAGTTGTGGGGGGGTTCAGTAATAATCCATCTTTATATCGATCGATATGGATAATATCCAAAGTTCTTAAAGTCAACCAAATGATTGAGATTTGGAGGTGTAAATTCGAGAAACGGAATCTCATATCGAATTTGATTTATAGACGTCATATTCAAACGAATCTATTCAAGTTGAACGTTCAACAACATTTCTTTAATTTATTAAGAAAATGTAAATTAGAGTCGTTGCTTTAAGGCGTTACTGACTGCATGGAAAAATTTATTTGAAATGCTAAACAACTTGAAATGTATAATAATTATTCAATAAAGTTTAATTACCATGCAATCAATGAAAAATAATTTTATTTCTACTTTCAAAAAAATAAAAAAAAATTGCATATTTGCTAATAAGTTTATATTATTTCTCTTTTAATTTCAGATTTTATTGAAAATTGGAATTGCGGTATACACAGCACTTGACTTTAATCTTTCACAGGATGAAGAATGTATAATTTCATCAGATCTGGAGCAACTAATTAATTTAATGACATATGAAGGTAATTTATGAATAACATTCGACACCTTAACATTCTCACGAGTCTAGCTTTCTTGGTTGCTTGTAATTTATAGTTTAGTTAATTAGAAGCGAAATTTGTTCGTGTTCCCACACATGTGTCTTAAGAATTGAAAACTACTTCATTGTTGTCACTCATTTGTGAAATTTTCCGAGAGATTTTTGGCAGTAAAAGGTGATTTTTTTTCTCACATACATAAAAATAATGTTGCAAACATAAATTCTTTGCTGAGTAGAATCTCCCAGGCATAGCATGAAAAAAAAGTAATAACAAAGAAGCAATTTCAGCAGAGGTCAATGAAACGTTAATGTAAATTTCAAACATGCTGATACTCGATTACATATAGGTATACGTGAATGCTTATGATTATGCTCATCCCACATTATTCGTACCTATTGTTTGAGCATATTGCTGCACATAAAAATGGAAAATTACAAGAAATTGTTTTCTTTCTTCATAGATGAATCTCTCAATTTTGCGAATCTTCTTTTATTTACTTTTTTTATTGTGCAGTATTTCTTAAAATTATGCATAATGATGATTTCCATCTTTCTCTTCTTCACACATGAATAATGCACGTGTTTTAATATGGATAAAATGCAGGAAGGTTCAATATTTAAATTTTTCTAAGGTTAGAATTCGCAATTCCTTAGATTGTTTATTTCTTATGGCATAGTAAATTGAAATTTTACTCGGAAAATTCCTGTGAAATTTATTCATCGTTAGCCATCATTGCAACACCAAAAACAAGAAAAAATGAGGCATAAAAATTCATTTATTATTCTCCCCTCAATAAAATGCATATTATGTAGCATGTTCAACCTTCAAGACCGAAATTTAATGTGTATTTTTTTAAGACTTAAATTGTATAATGATTTAATTATATCGGCATTAAACTTACTAAAATAGTTATCTAAATTGAAAATGTCTGAATATATTTTTAAATTAATTTAACTCAATTAAATCATCTCTTACTCTGAATTACATCGAAAAAAAAAATAACATAAATTAACACTTTTAAGGTTTAAAGTAAATTCTCATTGTCGTATTTTATTTTGTTTGTTTCTTTTTAAAATTTATTCGACCTCCTCTTTCTCTTTAATGGTTATTTCCTTTCTGAAGAGAAATAATAATATTATAAAAACTACACTTTTTTCACATTTAAGAGATTGATATAATTCACACGCTGTTCAGTCATTTGTATTCAGTGCTATTTTGTTGTTGCTTGACTGAAAAATGAGCATTTTAGAATAATTTAAAAGGTCTCACTTGCATAATTAAGTTAAATATAAAACAATGAAGGCATGAGACTTGTGTGTGGAATTGTTTTTCTTTTTGGACGTGTTCTTACCGCCTATTTCCTGCGACTTGTGGATTTTTTTTTTTATAGTTTTATTTGATGAATATTTACGCTTATCAAGTCATTAACACTGCTATTTTTACTTTATTTCCATTTCTACAACAAAGAAGAAGTTGATGACGAAGGTATTGAGCGTGATTCGGAAGAAATTGACGATGAAAAATTTTTAGACTCTAAAGAATTGGACCATATACTTGAGGTGAGTAACTGAATATAAAAAAATTAATAATAATAAACTTGAGTTGATTCGTGGCTGTCAAATTTTATTCAACAAATTCATGCCATTAAAAGAAAAGATTGAAAATCACATGAATTCACTTACTTGACATGACATGACTTTCAAGATCAAATTTTATTAGTGACATGATGTCGATTCCTTAGTCATTGCTCATTTCATAATTACAAAATATTTTGTTAGTTGTTTTTCGCCATGTAATCAAAACAAATGAGCACAAATTTTAATGTGTTGGTCTAGTAATAAATAGTTTGGCAAAAAAAGGAGGTATTATGGTCAGGGATGTGTCTAGGGGTTCCGCTAATTATTATTTTGGAATATTTCAAGGTGATTCAGTATTTAAAAATTGTAAAATTCACAAAAATTCATAAAATTAATTTAAAACAGTCATGAAGTTAAACATACACAATAAACCTTTGATTATGCTCTAACGACCATCTGATTTTAAGATTCTGATAAATTTGTTGTGCTCTCCTCACCATTGCTCAAGAAATTAACTGTAGCTGTTGTAAAGTCATTAAATTCGTAGTCTAAAATACTATATTATTATAAGAATTATTGCAATTCACAAGATCATTTTAAATTGCCTGCGAGGGCATCACAGGTCGTAAAATATTCTATAACAAAAATAGACTCAAGCTTGACAGCTAATGCGGTTCTTCAAGGTACACGAAATATCGCACAGAATTAAAGCTAAAAAATTGTTATTTCTCTTCAAACTTAATGACACAAAAGCAACAATAAATTATATCTCTTCCTTGTTTGCGTGAAATTCACTGAAGGATCTTCCTTAATGCAAGTCTTTATGGCAAAGAAGGTGAAATTTTGTGTGGCACACAATAAGTCGGTAATTTTGTAAGCTGTCAATAAAAAAGAATGTAAAAGATATCGCATGTCTCGCGTACCTTATTTGATAACAATTTATTAAAAAAGACTCAATGCCATTTGAACGTTGTATATATGTATATCCATGACATGTTATTTCTGATTCATTGTTCAATTACCAACAATACAAATTCTACAGAAATTGTCAAATAATAAATTGAATTTTATTTTTTCGCGTATTATTAGCCAAAAAAATAAAATTAAGATTATTAGCTGCATAATTGAAATGAAGTAATAGCCGTATGCCATTTATAGTAGCATTCATATCTAGCACTCTCATGCTCCATAGGCGGGTTTCATGTATAATCTTAATTTATGGAAATGTCGTCAGTCAGTTTGGTGCACGAATAAAAATATTTTTCATCATTTAATTTCGTGCGATATTCAAAAGACATGCAAGCATTTAAAATCTAAATTTGGGGTTCAATAGAGACCAATTTTAGGTGTTTAGGATATTAATGAGTTAATTGATGCTGGAGGTTATCTATGGGAAGTGGAGATTTGATGTGATGATTTAAGTGTCAAGGATTCAAATCAGCGTACTGTGGTTTTATTTAAGGGGTTGAAAGTGCTTGTCGGAAGATCATCAAGAATTGACTTTTAAATCTATATAGTGCTATATAGATAGTCTACTTCCAAATTCATATAATGGGCAATATTTTGGTCACTATCAAGTTTTTTTCATGGCATCTATGTTGAATAAAGACTTCTGTATCTTGACATTTTAGTAAAACAAAGTTTCATATTCATGTTCCTCAGTTCATAAGTGAATCATAATACGCTGTTGCAACACAGCTTGAGAATCAATAGATATTAGGTGATGAAAATCTGGTAAAATTGGTCTAAAAAGTTCAAAACTAGCTACTACAGTTACTTTACTAGATGTTAAACTTCTAGATATAGATCCATTGGAATTAAGATAATTAAGCCAATTTACTATGGATAATTTAAAGAATAGACAGCAGATGTAAACGATTTAAAGTTAATGTTAAGAATAAGAATTGATTTCAAAAGTAATACAACAAAAACTCCCATAAAAATCCAATCATTCAGTTCTCATACAATTTCTTTCGTGAACTCATTTAAGCCTTTAGGCTTTAATTTTTTTTTCTTCTATATTTGCCATAAACACTAATTGAACATTGTCAAACATTGCATCATTCAACTCATAAATTGCCAAAAAAATTATATTCTATTGTTAAGAGTGACAAAACAAAAAAGCGACTTAAAAAATATTTATTGCATAAAATTGTTGCCCTTAATTCCATAACTCATTTCATACATCATAAAAGTTAAGTTGAGAGAGTCAACAGGCACAGATAACAAATAATAAATATGCTTTTTTGCCATTGATTTCATAAACAGCTCAACACATTGGAATTTACTTCATTGTCTTCTAAAAAAAATCTTTTTCTTTTCTTCTTCTTTCCTCTCTTTTTATTTTTGTATCAAAAATAAATAACAACAAATTGACTCTTTTTTTGTGTGAATTATGATTGAATTTACGTAAGATAAAAAGGCATATTTCTCCTTCTTTTGTTAAGTTCATTCAATGACAATCGACATTTATCATCCAATGAGGCAGACAAAAGAGATCTTTTATGATGATGATTTGTGTTGATTATTTAATGATTCTCTGAGCTTTGATAATTTGGCAAATATCGAATGAAATTAGCAAATCAGTGAAATTTATTAGCTATTGACCTGATTAATTTTACTATTTTAATTCAGTGAAAGAAGACTCAAAAGTCATGAAAAATGTCGAATATCACCCAAGGCGATAAAAATGTATTTTATATGTTTTACAGAAACAGACTGAAATGTTGTTTATGGAATTGAGTATTTATGGCATTTTCTTCTTAAGTTGAGCGCTTCAAATAAAGTTTAAGGAAATATTAGATAACAACTTAATCGCTTTACTTATGAGTGAATCAAAAAAAAATATTTAAATAAATTTTTCTTCATATTACTTAATTGAAAATAAACAAAACGGAAAAAAATTCCAAGTGCCTAGTGGGTGGGCAATATATTCATTTTTTTATTCATAAAAACACATTAATGAGCATGATTATAGTAACTTATGAGTGATGTTTCTATAAAATACAAATTGGCGAGTGAAAAGTTATGATTAATTGCTTTTTAGTGACACGAAATAAAAATGAAAATTTTTTACCTTTTATGAGGCAGCGAGACGGTAAACAAAACAAATTTTCGATAATTAGCTGAGGAAGTGGAAGTAGCTGATTTCTAATGGCTTTTTTTGCAACAAAAATCACTTAGTCGATTTATTAATGGTTCGCAAAAAGCTTTCATTTCAATTGACGGTCGGGTTAATTTTTTCGCACTCGAATTGAAATGTAAATTATGTGAAAAGCAAAAGAGGCAGTTTAGTTCCTTAATAGCTCGTGTGTTAAAATGTTTTCTTGATGAATTTAATGCATAAAAAAAAGAAAATATTTTGCCTTCAAGGCTCATGGCAGTTCAAGAGGCAAGGCTTAGGTCACAAGCTTTATTTGACAATTTGTACGTGATCTTTAATATAATATAGATGCTTGTTGGAATGCCGATTGGAAATTTATGCTGTAAGCCACCATATTAAAAGAAAGGATAAAGCTATAAATTTTAGATGCATCTAGATTAATGAAAGCTAAAGCTATACAGAGTTGCTCACATAAATTTTGAAATTGACGTTGGAAACATCCACAACCATGCATTCTTAATGCTGGGTATAAACTTTGAAGTCTTTAATATTTTAACTTATTCAAGAAACTTCCTTAGTTCCAAAACCTGTGCAATAGCTTTTAATAGCTTCAGGTATACAAATGCTTGCACTTGCTCCAACAACAATGTTTTCAACTCTATATAATTCCAAAATTAATTACTCCTATTCCAACCAGGATATGATAATTACTGTCATGCAACAAATAATCTCAAAAAACCGCATTTAATTTCCAAAAAAAAAATGTAAACTTCAGTTAAGTGTCAAAATTAATTAAACTTGTGGACTAAAACTTTGTACTTGTAAAAAATATCTTAATAATTCCTTTAAAAATTATGCAGTTAATAGTTCATATCAAGATTAATTTATTACTATTATTATTTACCTGCCAAGCTTATTCCAATAATACATCTAAAATTCCTAGAAACTCATATCTAAAGGCAAAAAGTCATTCAACCGCAAAAATAACAAATCTAATAGATTTATGAATGTTCATGTCTTTAGTCTTGACAACGATGAATTGTGTGAATGATTCATCAATAATTCACACCACAGAAATAAATAAAGAACTCGTCATTTCGCTGATTATAAATGGGTCATTTTAAAGTATCGAAAAATCACTTGACACATTTCCAGTACATTCATTTACGTCTATAAATGTAATTTAGATGATTTTTTAGACAGACTTTTTTTTGACTCTTGGTGTCATTAAAACGGTTCACATCATGCGATGATGACTTCATTTTCATTTCTAATTTTAAAGCGTGAAAAGCATTCATCAATTTTTCATTTATTTCCTCCTCGTGAGCTTATTCGAAAATGACTCATAACTGTTTACATGCTCAAGAATTATTGTCATCTTTTACAGACATAGAAAGAAGATTTTTAGCTCAGTTTTCAAACTTTAGCTTGCTGTGGCAGCTTTGTCCCTTCACACGACGAGTTTCGTACCGCATTCTAGTTTTAACTGGTATTTCATATAGAATCAGCAAATGCGCTTATGTCAATATCACTGCAGACATTTTTACTAAACATTCTTTTATCTTGAAACATTAAACAGGTGACACAGCATGAATTGAATGCTGCTTTTCCTCTCATTTATTTTATATTTTATTTTCTATGTCAAATCAAATGTAAACCGTCCCAGTTTCAAAGTACAATAATTGTTAATAAAACACACATAAGCCAATCGGACAATAATGACTTAAAAAATTTCACAATTTTTATTAAATAATTGAAAAATTAATTAGGAATTGAAATAAATCAATTAATTTGCCTTTATGTGCATCGATTTGTGAAAATGAAAATGAAAATAAGCAATTGAATAGCAATTGAGAACAAGTCGGCAATAATGCTCATGGCCTTTGAAAGTCAATCGCAGCTTAACTCATATTATTAAATACAACCGATTCTCTTCTTATTCTCTTCGTCGTCACAAAAGCATGCTTATTGCTTAGTGAATCAATCAGTTTACAATTCAACATTCTTTATTTCAATGAATTGGAGGCATTTTATATGTTGAGGCAATAAATGTGGTATAAAGACAGATGACAAGAAAATGTTTAGTAAACGGAATGTTGTCACTGTCATCAAACTACTTGCATTTTTTATTGCATTACTGTCTATACATAGACATCTTATTGATGAATGAATTAAATGAAGAAATTATTGAACTACCAATGTGGCTTTTTTGTGTGTACACACATATATACAATTCTATATATTGTATTAAATTAATTGAATGAGTAGAGCACTTGTTTGCTGCAATTTTCCTGCATACTTCTTCATGTGATCAAAGAAAATATTCGCTTGAAAAGTGAAAATTCCACAGCTTTAAATGGAAATAATAGTAATAATCATAAAAAAGTGAATTGTGACCTTAATTTCATTTCTATTTTATTTTGCTTATTTTATTTATTTATTTATTTTTTTGTGTATATATATTTTTCTCACATAGTGTCTGCCCACCCACAAAAACATATAGACAAGTTTTTGATCTTTTTCCTCTCTCACAAATAGGCATAAAATCTTTTTTTGAATATTAATTGACTTTGTTAATTTATGAGCATTTTATTAAAGGCTTTTTTTTTTCGTTAGCACGCTAGTTAAGACTACATATGTCGTGCATTTTCGTTAGCTAGTTAATTGTCCCGAGCAGTATAAGAACTATGTTTGCTTTGAAATCGTCAATTTATTCTATAATTCTTCACTCAAGAGGTAGAGAGTAGAAGCTCGTGACATGAGCTTATAGAATTCAATTTGAAGGAGTCTGAAGTCCTCTAATGCACTGACGACCGAGCCATGTGTCAGGATACGTACGTTAAATGAAAGCTTATAGATTAATCAAAGCTGAACAATCAGACTAAGGACAATAATGTTTACAACCGATCATTTCACGATTTAACTTGTGCAAAGAAATTAGAATTAATTCCAAAATTCATGCATGAATATCAGACACTCTTAAACTCATATCCAGCTCGGTCAGAGCAGAAATTTCGCGAATATCGGAATGAGGAAGGCTGTAGGAGCAAGACATTTAAATGTAAAATAAAATAAAAAGGCGAACATTAATGAGAGGCAATATGAGTTTATGGCATCAAATTTCCGATGCAATAACAACCTGACACTTCCAATTGACGCCCAAACAATTTTTTCGTCGCTGTAAAATATTCCTTTCGTGATTATCTCGCTGTCAGACAATTATGCGAGCAAAAAGAAACATAAATAACAAAAAATATTGATGTAAATCAAATAAAATTATATTTATTTACTGTTCGCTGAAATCAGCTTATTTACATCTAGCATTGCCAACTGTTTGCTGTTAATTTTGTCATTATTACACTTCATTTTCGTCATCATCACGTTTGAGCTCGATCGGCGTCAGTTTAATATACCACACAGACAGAGAAGCATCAACAACAAAAGCAGATGATGAAAATGAAATATAAATATTTTGGACGCAAGACAAGCTTGAAATGCTTTTGGAATCTTCTTCTTATTGTTATTGCTCGCTTATGATTTTCGATTGTTCACTTTAAATATTTTTCATAAACATACCGGAATAGACAGATTTATAGATAGAAGTAAAGTATGAGAAGAAAAATATAAAGCACTGGCAATAATAGAAATAGAAAAAAAAAATGTTTTTCTTCTTTGCATTATGTGCACATTTGAATGTCTGTAAAGGCAAAAAAAGAGCAATAAAAGTTACGTAATATGAATATGAACAGCACATTTTTTTGTTGAACCATGAAAGCGAATAAAATAGCGTTTTTGTGGTGGCACAAAAATGTTTGGTGCTTAGTTCCACATGTTTGCTGCACCTTATGACTCATACATGCATGCGATTATTTGAGGAATGATGTCAAATGGAAACAAATGCGACAAGTTAAAAAGTATAAGAGTCATGCACAAATGAGTAATTAGAATGGAATTAAAATGTCCACGAAAAATATGATTTCACAAATTTCCACGCGAGTTTCTTCTATAAAATCATAGAATGCCAAAAATTATTACTAACCGTGAGACTATTTCCATAAAATAAAGTATAGATCAAAAAGACAAAATGACAGTGAACACCTTATTTAGCCTTCAAAAGTGTATTGAAAATACTCACGATGAAAAAAAATTATTTTTTGTTCCATTATTCGAGTATTTTTGATTTGCGAACGAATGCCGACTATTTAAAAGCTACAATTTTAAAGTCACATTGTTGTAATTGTAAAACTTCATTACGACAAAAAAAAAAACGCAGAAAAATTTGCATTAATAATGTAGAAAAATGCAAAACTTGTAACTACCATTGATCAACTGAAATGAGTCTTTTTGGCGCGATTTAGCTAAGGAAAATAAGGTTATGCATTCACTTTGTCGGGTCGTTAAGTTCGTTTGTCTGATGTGATCAAATAATGTACTGTTTCTTGCAAGTGCTTCGTATGATGAATTTTAAACTGTCAAAGCGATTTCCATCCGCGAAATCTGTTTAAAAGATCTATAAATTGTTGATATTACATGTCTCTTAACTATTTCGTTTGGTTCTTAACGGTCTATAAAAACTTTAAAACCTCAATACAACCTTAACTTTAACAAAATCAAACTGCGCTCCAAAGTGTCTAGTGTCACATGTGTACTAATTTTCGATGATTGCGAATGTTACGTTCTGCGAATATTAAAAATAGAATTGCATAATGACAAACATCACACGATGTTGCCTTTCTATCATCATTTATCACATATAATGAATATTGATTAGCGTTGACGAGATTTAGCGCTAGACCATGCGTACATCGCGCCTTTGATGAAGAGTTATACATAATAATAAATCTATTGTTTGAATTTCTTCTTCGTACCTACTTTTTGATTAATAAATGTTTTTATGACTTGTGATATCGACAACACTTACTGGCAAAAAAAAATGAAAAATTTTCATAAAAAATTAAGATGTTTTTATGTGCCACCATTAATTTGACTTTTTACGATTGATAGGCTATTAATCAAAAAGTCATAAAAATCACTGTTTTTTAGGTTAGTCGTGCGGTCTGTTGAGAGAAGTAACAACAGACGAAACTTTCATTCAACATGTATTTAATTTTTTGACCGGGTTTTATGTAATTTTTTTATTCGATCAATTTTTACAATTGTTGTTTATAGACAACAGTGACATTCACTGCAGCACAACACAATTGCTTCTGCTGCACACAAAAAATAAATAAGTATTTACGAGAATGCCATTTAAACAGCAGCACTGAATTTTGTATATGGAATGTGTCGTACACACACCGAAATAAAGATTCGATTGATTTATGAGCATTTTTCATGCAATTTTTCTCGCTTTATTGAATTTAGTAAGCTATTAATGAGAATTAATAATGAAACCACAATAAAAATGAGGCATGAGGTGGTTAAGCTATATAATTTTTTTTATTTATTTTCAATCGTCATATCTTACATATTGAGACTAGCTCTTAACCTCTGACATAAATTGCAATTTTTCACAATCAATCCTACAGATGCTGGTTCTCTCTTTTTACTACTTTCTGTTTTATATTTGCTGTGTATTTCGAAGATCAAGTTCAATATTAAAATCTATAAATTAATCCTCTGAACATGAACAATGGCAGGCATTTTTTTTGATTTGTTTTTATGAATTCTGTAGTTTTCATTTCTAATTTAATTTATTTTTATTTTTTTTTCCTTACTGATTGATCGATAAACTTTGTATATATATATTTTTTTTTTATAAACCTCTTATTTTCTTTATTTCATTTCAGTTATGCACACCACGTGTCCTACCTTCAAGTCCGGAGGAGCATTATCGTGCTGTGTGTAGGGCATTGGCTACAGAAAGTATTGAACTTCGTGTATTTTTATCGAAAGTCTTTACGAATGACACTGAAGCACTAAGAATAAAAGCCGATGCCGAGTCATCGAAACAGGAACTGGCGAAATTAAAATTTTCAGATTGGGTGAGTGTTAAAGGTCAATGACTAGTTTTGATATTTATGATTAATGTTGAAATATTTTGGAAGTGACTGAAAATTTATTGCTAAAAGATTTCTTACGTAAGATATTCTTTTGTGTACTCCGAAAAGATTCCTACACAAAAATTTATTGCAAGGCTATTTCTATACAATTATTGCTGTCTTTCACTTATTTCTGGTGATGGTATAGACTTGCTACGATGATCTTTGATCAGTTAAAAGTCATAACATGTTTTTGAACATTACAATGTTCCAAATTCCGATGCTGTATTAACGACCAAAGACATAAAAACCGCTGACTTAATTCAATATCGAATTTCTATAAAAACTTTTAATATCCTCGCAAAAATTAATTTATAATCACCTCAAATAAGTCAAAAAACATTTATAATATACCATTTCTGGAATTTGCTCGTTATTGACTTATTAGGCTTATAGAGAAAGAGATACGATTTAAATTCATAAATTTGACTGAAAAAAAATTCGCAAATGATTATCAACACCTATAAAATTATTTAAATTCGCCTTTTAAACTTTCTCCTTAAGTAATAAGATTTCTGTCCATTGCACTGATGGATTCTCTAAATGTACAAAAATTTCTAAACATTTTGATATCAATCGATATGAAAAATTCAATTACTGTAATAATAAGAAAGTTAGTGCTACTCCGAAAATATGATTGGAAATATATTGTAAGTCAGGGATTGATGTTCGATTGACTTGCTCTGATATTTCAGTTTGAATAAAGTAGCTGCTGTCAGTGATTTGAATTACTTTTACTTATAAATGTAATATTTTTTTTTGAAAAATCATGTTTTGAATGGGATGGGGTGGGATTATGCATGAATTTTTTCTTTGACTTGCTGCATATTTTTAATTTAGACAGTTTCTGGACAGGAAATAGTTCCATTCACTTTGGAATGATAAAATATTTGGAAGTTTATAGATAATTTTTGTTAATATCAAGCTGCGAGAGTCAGTAACTAATGCCAAGCCTTCTTTCTTCTGATCCTGTAATAATCAATTAATGAAATCTTAGTCTAAGTTTTAATGAGACTAGCAACGAAAACGGAGCAGAGAAGCTTAGTAAAGAGACAATGATTCAAAATCTAGTCATCAACAAAACTCTACTTTGAATATCTTGAGCAATTTAAAAATAGTTTAACATTTTAACAGCACACTCGCGTGTAGGAGCAAATGAAAAATCACACATCAATCCCTGAATTAGATTTAATCAATTCTCAATATTTCTACATATTAAGATCTGTACAAAAAGATATTGTAACATGAAAATTATTCATAACAACCACAACAAGTCAAATCCTACAAAAGAATCGATAAAAATCTAAAAATGCATTTTAAAGAGTGCTATAAATGTAATTCATTTGCGTCAAAACTCATGTGACACCATGTTTGATAAGTGTTTACTTTTGAACGATAAGATAGATATATATTTTATTTTCTAGTTTCGAAATGTTCATATTATGCATGATTTTTTTTATATTATGCATTTATTTTATTTATTTAAATGACGAAGAATATGAAAGGAAAGAAAAATATTCAACACAATTTTTTTTTAATACTTCTAGTATTTCCATTTGAATTATATATGTGGAAAATTAACTTGTCGCTGTCGTAATTTTATACTTAATCGAGTGCTTACAACAAAAAGAAAGAAAAATGGAAAAACATTGATCAAATTGGCTGTAAGGAAATTATGTAAATTTTTATTTCTCCTCATTACAAGATAATTTCATTAGACAATGATTATTAGTTTGATACAGCAACAATGAAGAGATTGATAAGAAGTTGATAAATTGAAAAAACACAATTTTAATAATGTAATTGTCGGTTAATAATTGTTGCATGCAAAAATAGTGATGTTTAATTAAAATTATTGCAACTTTTATATGAATAGTCAATCTCAATAATGAAAATGATTTAAAAGAGCACATAATATAGGAATAAATACATGAAAGTAATCATTTATCGTATCTGCTCACATATAATTTATATGATTGTATAACTACATTTATGTATATCTACATATGACATGAAAATTATTTAATATACCGGCTTTTTTTTCATACGTCTTTTTCTACATGACTTGTCTGCATCCATCTGTCTATCTTTTGGTCATTCACAAATGAGGTTCATAGAAAGATTTAGGAATTCCCTTAAGACTAATGGAAACTTTGTTTTTTTCGTCAAGATTTAAAATTTATTTTAAATTTTTTGAGGATTTATACCACTTATCATACCCAATCTGTAGATCTAAACCCTTCTGAAACCCCTCCCTTCGATCCCTAAACTCAGATAACATCACTTGTAAGCGTACCCATTTGTGGATGTTTTAAATCGAAGAAATTCTTCATATATTTTTGATTTATCAAATTTAATGATTAATTGACTTACAACAACAATAACATTGTTATGCTTCTCTCATCATTATTTAGTAAATGAAAAGACTTTTTGAGACGTCATGTGTGCGCTGTTTGATTACATTACATTTTAAAACTCATGCTCGTAATTGACGATTGTTTGTAATATTAAGCACAATATGAAAAATTATTTAACGATTTTGATCAGTTTTTGTGAAGAACTGTTGAAAGAGTTTTTTTTATAGCTGTGTATATTTTTTTTTTCGGAAAATTAACGTTTCAAAATCTAAACTAAATTGAGTCATTTAGTGTGCAATATTTAAAAATTCATGCCCATGTGGGGGTAAGGCTGTTTTTTCGCTAATTTTATTACTAAGACACCATTAAGGCAGAGAGAAGAATTATGTAATTTTGATGATGGTAAATTACGTGTTTTCTTCTTCACCTCATCTACACGCACTACAATGGTTAATTAATGCTGCAAAGCTTAGCATTTGCAATGCAGAGAAAAAATTTGTGAAGAAATTCATTTAATTTAAATATTTTTTGTTTTTGTTTTGTTTTTATCTTACATCATTTGCTTGCCTTTTTGCTGTTAAAAATACATTCCAGAGAAGCAAAAATAACTCAAAAATATAAATTATGTCGGGTCATTTAAACATGAGATAATAATTTGCAATACCCCCAAAAATCCTTCGTTTCATTTCCATTCATTTAAATCTTTTGAATTTCTTTTCTCGCATAATCATAAAAATCTCCGCATGGCAATGACAATTAAAGTCGATTTTTGTTCGCAAAAATGCTTCAGTGTCAATTTCATAAGAAAACAAGACTGCCTCATATTAAATCGACAGAAAAGTGCAAAAAAAATCTTTTTATTATTTTTGTGACTCAATCAAATTGGAAAAAGAAAGTTTTTCTTTTAATATTGAATTCAATTCATGCTGCAATGATCCAGCATAAAAAATTTTTAACGAGTAGCTACTTATTTATTTACTTATGATACTTTATTCAATAGATACAGAGAATCCCATTGTTGTTAAATTCCGGAACTTTATAACTTTTTTTTCACTCGATTCATTAATAATGAGGAACAGTCGGTCGGGCGGTGAGAAGCACAGTGAAATGTGATGAGTTTCAATCTCCGCTTCCGAATTATTTTACATCTTCTTCTTCTTATGGAGAAAAAGAAATATTTATGACTAAGTTGTTGAAAAGTTTGGTTGTAAGATTAATATTTTATTAGATGGTTGAATGCAGCGCAGTGTCTTTATAGATTAAATGTAAAATTATATTATGGGAATTCCTAATATCTAGACTTTTAAATACTTCGATTTATCTTTAAATAAATTTTCGTACAGTTCTGAACTAGTGCATCCAATCTTTGATCCAGCGAAATTTTTTCATCACAAAAAAATTCTTACTTAGCTTAATCTAGTATTTATATTGAATTTTGTGCTATTATTCTTATTGTAATACTAAAGAACCTATTCTGTCCAATATTGTATTCCACTTTAAGCCTCAATGTTAAATCACCCAAAATGAATACTTCACAGCATTACTCTGCTTAAAAATTGATCAATCCAAAATCAGATATTGTATTCATTCATAAGGCAGGAAATTGAGAAAATCTAATAAGCGAGTTAGGCGAGAGAGTTAACTTGCTGATTAAAATTATTTTCATCTGAATTTTTATTTTTTCTTCATTTTTTTGCCTCAAATTGACATCCACAGTAGCACGATGAAATGAAATAAATTGATCAATTTTCGCGTAACTGTCAATTTACCATGCGTCATCTGTCACATAAAAGGAGATGGAAAGAAATTGAAATAAAAATTGTAATTGACCGAGAGATATCAATTGTATGTGAAAAGATACAGATAGTAGCAATTTAATATTGAGAAATGAAATTGGATTAATTAATTTTAATTGAATATAGCAGTTCCTTCTTTTATGTGTGTTCTTTCTCTCTTATTTATTTATTTATTTGTAATTGAATTATGTCGAAGAGATAAATTTTAAATGACTTACTGACTCTTTTCCGATACTCTTGTTTATTTAATGAAATGTCTGCAGTTGCTGTAAACTTCTCTTAAATTCATTATTTTCTTTATACTTACTTTGTATCTTTTTCTCATTTAAATTGATATGTGAATTGTTATGTGAAACATAAAAGGGTGAAAGTTACACAATCAGCGAGTCAACAAGTCAGAAATGCAATCGCAATTTTATAAGGCTCTTATTTTTTTGACAAATACATAAATATGCAGACAGTGACAGACCTTTTTTTCGTGCATCTATAGCCAAAAAATAATATAAACGGGGAGGTTTGCTGCTGATTTTTTGGCATTGATTGATGAAAAAGAAAATCAGTATTGCAGATAAAATTGCTTAACATCGCTCTTGAAGGATTCGAACCTTTGATTTATTAATATTTAATATTACTTTGAGTCTTTATTTCTACTTCATAAAACTGCTTAAGTAAATATGGCTCAAGTATCTTTTTAAGAATTTCTGAAAACGAATCAATCAAAGAGCATATAGATTTATTTTAGTCTTGAAAATTTTTGATCTCAAAAATGAATAACAGCGCTCTAATTATTCAACACTCAAGTACTTTTTTTACTGTCATCCTTCCATTCCATAAAGCATTCCACTCTACACGGAAAAAATGTCTTGTTGATGCACTTTTCTGATTCTCGTCTGCATCAGCTCTTATTTTTTTGTCATGATTTAATTTAATTTTTGGTAATTTCCTTTGTGTGGTTCATGAAAGAATTCACAGAACATAAAGACATATGTTATTAAGTAAGCAGGGTATGAAATTGAAAGTGAAGTGAGTAAGAAATGCGATATATTTATATATTTTTTATATCAAAGATTTAATTAGTGAATTAACATTGCTATTCCATTTCTGTAACTTTACAAATACATTAAGCATACAGTAAGAGAAGTAAAAGAAACGGTAACCAAACATAAGTCACATGAAATAAATTCCTTTATGGCGTAAATGAGTTACATAAAAGGAAAAGTTGAAATTCTTGAGACGCGATGAAAAGAAAAGAAAAATTAAAAATTCGTTGTGGGAAGATATTTTTTGTTGTCATATTAAAGAAATTTCTTCTCTGTTTAATTAATTAATCTCATTTTTACGGCCATTAAGACCGAGGACCAGCATATTTGGCAAGCGATACAAGTATGTATTTTTAGGATCTTATGTAAATTTTTTATTCGTATCTTTCACACAAGTGATTAATTGGATCTCATTAGTTTCAATTAAAGCATGAATGCATCTACTGACACATTTCTTCTTATTTCATTTTTAATGTTATTTTCAGCGCAAACTTTTGCAATTTAATTACCTATATTTTATCCACGTTTATGATGAACTGGTTTCAATTTAATTAATAATTCTAACTATATATCCACAATATGCAATCATTTATTTATTAATTTTACTCTCCACCTCTGATTTTCTCCTTCTTTAATGCTTCTGCTTTATTAGTTCGTGTTGCATGACTCTCCATCTCATTGCAATCTTTTTCTATAGATTATTATTTTTTTGCTCTAATTTATTATTAGATGTCGATTATTATCGCACTAAACACACATGAATGTTTCCTTCCAATGATTTTTATAGCTTTTTACGTTTGGTGCTGTTGCTTATTGCTAACAAATAACATTTAAAATAATTACAGCAATTCTTCAACTAACTTACCACAGTACAAGCAGCAGCCATTCCATTTCATTTACAATCATCGTCATCAACAACGTTTGTTATCCATTTATGAAAATCTCTTTATTTTAAATGAAATAAAAACATGTTATGATCCCATAAAAAATAAAATTGTTATGCAAACTAGGTGAATTGAAGAGAGAATAAGCAATAGACAGATGATCAAATTTGGAGTTGTCGAAAGCGCATTTTTCTTACTTAAATATTGGCATTGAGTTAAATAGACTATGCTAACCGAAAATGTTTATGCTGTTGATATAGGAAACGAAATTTAACGAATTTTAAACATTTAAAATAACTGTTCACCATTTTGTTTTTTTTTTCTTCATTTCGAAAAGTTTTTTCTATTTTTTTTTGTCAATTTAAGTTTAATTTTAAATCTTCTTTTATAAACTTCAACTAAAAAGTGACAACAACAATTGTCAAAAATTTCGAGCTTTAAGTCGACAAAAACGATCATTAAGACTTCGAAAAAATCAGCTAAAATGAATAAGTCTTATAATGCAATGTTAGTTACTCAATGAGATAGGCATAGATAGAGACCGAATGAAAAGAGATGGAGAAAGAAAAATTTCTGGACACAAGTTGAAGATATGAATAAGAAACGAGAAAAAGGAAGGAAAAAGTAACATGTGCATAGAAAATAAATTTTGATAAAGAGACTTGTTCATACGAAATTAGTTCCATATATCTCAATATGTACTAATGGAACTTTTACTTAACTTTTTGTAAACAATTTTTCTTCTTGTTAATTCTCAGCGTGGTATCTTCAGTTGTGTAAATTATGTAACTACACGCAATTGGCATTAAAATTGAGCTTAACAATTAATCGAACTTTAATGAAGTGCATGAAAAATAATTTTATCCACCAACAATATTATTTTTTTTGCACTAAAAAAATATGAACAGGTACAACGTTCAGTCCAATAATGAACGCCTCGAATCGATTAATGAATTGTGACCAATTTTACTTGACTTTCATTACTTATAAATGTTTACTCTGCGTGTGATCTGCAAAAGTTATGAGCTTTCTTCCATTTATAAATATTATTATATTGAACATGCAATGGACATACATTCTTTTTATGAATGTCACATGACATACAGAAACACATAAACAAACGAAGCAAAATTGTTATTAAATAAGAGAGATGAAGGTTGAAGTGAATGCAACAATGTAGGATGTTAATGTGAGCATGCAATTCAAATTGAAAATTCAATTTTTAACCAAAAAGGAACTCAACTTCCTTCATGCTTCCACGCAAATGCTGTTTTTTGCTTCTTTCTTCCTTCACATTTAATTACTGCACTGCTGCTGTGTTTCCTTTCCCTTTTTGCAGATCTAGTTGATCATGTTATGTGTCAAAGGAATTTTCTTTTGTTTTGGTCTTGTTGATATGTGTAAAAAGTCATATCTTTATAAAGTTATGACTGAGTCAATGGACAAACTTATATTATATAAAGGCTAGCTCAAGTCTGTCCTGTAAAGTCTTGCATCATTTTAATTCTGACTAAATTCATTGATACCTTACATGTAAAACGTCAAATAGGAACAATCCCTCAGTTGAAGGCTACAAATCATTTACGTACTGTTGGGATTAGTTCTGCTAAATTACGACAAAAGCTTGCAACAAAATGATTTTTAAATGCACTTGCTTTAACTTAAATGCAGATTATCTAGCTCATGTTGTGCGCCGGAATTGCTTCATATTTTTTTCGCAATAAAACGAGCAATTATGAATTCCTTTACACGACTTTTTGTCATAATTACTGAAAAACCTTTTTCCCACCTCTTCCATACTTTTTATGACTGAAAGTTTTTATTATGGCTTAATGCAGTCAACAGTTCGTTTTCAATGCTAAAGGGAAAGAACATTGAACAGTATAATAGAGATAGTGCTTATGATTTATATTAATAGTTACCGGCATTGTTGCTTTGCTGTCAACATAAAGGTCTTTTTAATTATTTTGACGAATTGAATTTCGAAAATCTTTTTTACGTACTTTTCAATTACACTTAGCATTGAACGCCATATTTGTAGCATTTACGTGATTCTTTTGTTATTTATGCTTCACTTCTATTTTAATTTTTTGCATTTTTCAACATTTTTTGTTGATTTATTTCTATATTAATTTCACACTTTAAATGTCGATAAAAATTTCATTAATTTTTGTATAAATTAATTTCCGTTATAGGCAAGGTTTTGGATGCAAGTCGTTGATGAACTCCGGAGAGGTGTGAGACTAAAGAAAATCAATTTTCTTCATCCACCTACAGAATATGCAATGACTCCGTATGAGATATTGATGGAAGACATAAGATCGAGGTGAGAATCAATATATTTTTTATTTTCGTATATCCATTATTATTTTTATTATGCAGTCATGTCATGATGAACAATTGTAATCATACCTGTATAAAGTAAATCTCTGAGAATGAAACCTTTATGTATTCGTATGATGTAATTGCTAAATGAAACATGCACTTACAAATGTAGTACCACAACGTGAAGTACACAAAAGTATGAATTTTATATTTTTCATTTTCATTTCCTTTAATTTTCATTCGCTGCTCATTTACTTACTTACTAACTTACTTATTTACATGACAACATGAATGACACTTTAATGATTATGATTAACACATGTCTCACTTATTGCAAATTATCTTTTACAATTTTTTTCTCTTCTCTATCTCTCTTTCTGTTTCTCTAGGAAATATCAATTGAGGAAAGTGATGGTGAATGGCGACATTCCACCGAAAGTGAAGAAAGATGCACATGCTGTCATTTTAGAATTCATAAGATCTCGTCCACCTCTTAGAAAAGTAAGCTCATAGACTTATTCGATTTGCTTGGTTTCTGAGCTTTCTATTGTCAGACAGTATGTCAAACTTTGAGCTTCTCCTGTCTCTAGTGACAGAAAACAAGAATTTCGACTCCCCCCAAAAAATATCATATCTTAGCATTCCCAAAAATAGACAGTCATACGTGATTTTTGCACGTTGCAATCATACAACTCAAATTACTTTTCATCATGCACTAACCAGATAAATTTTGATGTCAAACAACAACATCGAGACAAGCTGACTGACAATAGATTGAATTGGAAACAAGTAGCATGTGATATTTTCGTCACAATACAATGATTGTTGTGTACATCGCGTCTCTTTCTCTTATCGATCAATTTACTAAGAAAATGTTTATTTTCAAATATTAGGCAACAGATAGGAAGCTAGCACCATTAAAACGCAATCCATCACCTCGCGAGCAATTACTCGACTCAATACGAAAAGGAAGAGTTTTAAAACCTATCGCAGCTGGACTAAAGAATAGATGTGAGTACATGAAAAAATGTTGTTTACTAATTAATGTTAAAGAAGGGATTATAAACACATGTCAACCTGATTAATTGATTAATGAATTCATTAAAGTTACATAAATAGAAAGAAAAATATGAAAGATATGCACGCGTATGATACATAAAAAACGTGATTAGATGGGAAAAGAAATACCGCAAGCTATAAATAGAAATGCGACATGGAAAGTGTTGCAGCTTAATTGATCCCATATTATGCACTTACTATGTAGATAAATTTACATTTTATGATCGTTTTTCTTTAGTTAATAACGCCGCAAAAAAAAACACTATTTTTCCTCTTCTCTCACTTCGTTTTTTATGATTTTTCATCTTAATCTAATATTTTTTGAATGCAATGCTGTAGAAACGATATTTATGAATGAGCAGAAATTATTGCAATTTAAATAAGAAATAATCAATTCATGGTAAAAATGGAATATGAAAAATGAGCTTCAAACATGTTTCCGAGAGTCTTGTTTTAATAATAATCTTTTCATACTCGCTCAATTTTTATGGCATCAATTTCATTGGCAATGACAGAGATTGATCTGCATAATTGAAATCTTTAAGTGCAGTTACGGAGTGCATTACCACATTTCATGAGAATAAATGGCAAGTTTCTATGTCTGCATTGATGCTGTATGAACGCGCATTTAATGTTTTACGGATAAAGTAGTCAAAAATCATCTTTTTACAGCTTCATTCAGTCAAAGAAACATGTTAAAATTTGAACCAAATTAGTATGATCTACATCCAGTAGCTTGAACTGGTTAAGAAACCTTGCAGTTCCTAGTGTGTTAAGAAAAGATTCAAACCGTATGTTCTTTGCAATGGTACAAACAAGATGAATTATAAAAGCAACAGACAAATCAGCCACAATGCCCCTTGAAACCAAAGTTCGTTATAAACGTTAAAAATTACGATAAATGATTTATGAATTGCATTTAGTTAACTCATATTGCATTCATATTTATCCTTTACTCACGCTTTTCAGTTTTGAAAACTAATCTCAGTTCCTTCCTTTCAATTTTATAATTTTTTTTTTTAAAGTTTTACTTTTTATGCACTTTAATGTTGCACATTTGTCATATCTTCTAATAAATACGCTTGTGCTTTTTTTCTACATAATGAAAGTAAAAACGTTATGTTGCACTTTCGATTTCTAAAAAAAAGCAATCCATTCAACTCAAATCTTTGTCCGCTTAGCTAGCACCATCACCAAAGCTGGCTAATAGATACGTATATAAAAGAGACGAGGGGATTATAGAAGCACGCGATTATGATAAATGAGATGAATTGATTACTTTTTGGTTGAACTTGAATATTTTCTCTCCTTCTCTTTCTGCTTATGTTGTTGGCTATGCTCTATGCTGCCGGCATTTCTTAATAAATAGATGAAGATCATTGAAACGAAAGCAACGTGAATGTTTAAAATGAATAAATTGTGCGAATGAAAATGAAAAATTTCCTTCAATCAATGCTGCTGACTCGCGCATACGATTCGTGAGGCATTTTAATGTGATTTTATATGCATAAATTAAATTAAATGAAAAAAAAGAAAAAAAATGTCTCAAAAATTGAATTAAAAACATTTTCTTTTATTGTTGCATTGGTACGAGTTGTTGAGACAGATGGCCAATGAAGGCCATAAAAATTTTGTCATGCTGTGTCCCCTTCGCATAAACAAATTCGGCAGAAAATTGTTATTTAGTGAATCTATCGAATAAAATTTATTATGCTCTTTTCCTACATTGAATGCTGCTTTATTGGCAGGGTTGGGGTTGTTTGATGAAAGGCTTTCGTACTTTACGTACTTACTTACTAATTGGGATAAAGTAAGGAGTCTCTAAGAATCATCGATGCAAGAACTTTGTAAGTCTAATAAAGTATCTACAACTCATTTTGCATTAAGCGTCTCATTGCCAGAATTTAAGAATTATTCGATCATCTTTACTTGCACCAGTTCATGACTTAGTATCTCAGGAACAAAATAAAATCACAATTTTTCATTTTTCCAACTCTGCATGCTTTAATGCAAAAATATGAAAAGGATTGAGAATTTCACGAATCATGCTGTGTGTGCGGTCAGTTCGCATTAAAATTTAAATGAGATTATCATGAGGAACGAGAGTATTCAATATGCCAAAAAAAATTTAATTTACGAAAAAGAAAAAAAAATAAAAATAAACTTTCGATTTCTATTTTCTTTCTTTATTTCGTATCTCATCTCTTAACTTACAGTTCAACATATTTAAATATGTCAGACCATAAATTAATAATCTTCGAGCAGAAAGGTATTCATTAATTCGAACGAACTTGATGACGACTTTTTTTTTTGTTGATGAAGGCGTAAAAGTTAATTAAATTTCATCCATTTATGAGGCTCGCTTCATATAAATTAAAAGTATTTTCGATTCTCAAGCGTGTTAATTTCACTAGATTGTGTTGTGGCTTTTTTTTTGTCTGACGTCCATTCATATGTTGCTGATTTTTTAAAATTTATGATTTCATGTTACACATTTTCGTGTTTTCTTATTACCAAAATTCTTTCCTTTTCTTCACTTTTCATTTCTTTTATTTCTGATGACTTTCATATATAATACCCATATGACTAGACTTTCATCATCGTCATTTCCATAATAAGAAACTTTTCTTATCCATCAACTCAAGATATTTATATATTCAAACTGTATGAATGTGAATAAGTTTCGTGAGATCCACTTGACTCGCAGATTATTTGTCAAATAAAATAAAGAGTGAGAAAAAAAGATCACGATGCTGTAAATGTAAAAATTGTCACAAGTACACGCATTTGACCCAAATCTAGTCGACATTTTTTGATTGATTATTATCGATGATGTGCTATACATCTTGAAACGAAATCGAAAGGTGCGCGTTATATCGAGTTAAAAAAAAGCAATTATCCTTCATTATGTGACTAACGTATTCCAAACACTTTACAAGCCGTCTACTCGCATTCGTCTTCAGAGCTCTTTGATTTAAAAATCTTAAGATCATGATGATGATGAATGTCAGGTTGAAAGGAAAAAAAATGCGAATGACGAAAAAAGACAGAGTTAATGTGAGGGAAAGTGAGAATAGCACGTTCATATACGAAATGAAGGAATGACCAGAAACAAGTTAATTAACATTCAGCGACAGATATGAAGAAAAAGAAATAAAGAAAGATATAAAAATTGGGATGTAATTTATGGTCATTTAGTCACTTTAAAGAGCCATTTTCATTCTTTTATAAATCATGATCTAGCGATCAGGAAATCACTGAAGATACTCACGGTAACCCATTGGGAATCACTTAAATTATGAATACGATAAAAATATGAAGAAGAAGAATAGATAAATAGAGAAAATGATTAGAGCTCTTATGTCTCATTTTATTGTTGGTATCATGCTGATGTATGTCTATCGGGTACAAGAAAGTCTAATGTACCTTGTGGTTTTGTATGGGAATGTAAATATTTCTTTATTACAAAGCGGAATTCGTAAATTATTAATACTTATAGTCATCTTTTTTGTGGAGTTCCCTGGGATTTTAATTTGTGATTCTTGTGTCCTCAGTTTGGATGTTTGTCTGTTTACCTTCTTTATCAAAATGATTTAAATTGGAATTATTAAAAACTTCAACTTAGATGTCAAGAATTTTAAAATATTCCATTCCTTCATATGCTTATATTCCATACAAAGTTATGCTTACCAGTTGGTCTATGTAATCGATATGCTTAGTTTTGGCTATGTTGATTCTAAATGGAAGCATTCTTGAATTACTGGTTCTAAGTTTTCTAAAGTGGCAAAAGGTATTTGACATCAACGTATTATGCTGTTAGTAATAGGACGAATTTTTACCTGTTTCAATTATTTTGAACTTGTTTTCATCCTAATATGTATTCTATCGTTTCTGTGTCATATATTATATGATTATGATTTGGCAACTTTATTGCGTAGCTTAGGTTCTAAATTCAAATTTTAATACAATTGAATCATTTTGATACCAAAATAGTTTTTTACCTTCAAGCTCATACTTGTATGACCTCTGTTTGAATTATTATGCATTTCTTTAAAAACGCAGAAATTCTGAAAAACTTCTCTTTTTAATAAGCATTATTTTATCAAGTTTCTCTAATCGAAAAACGCTTCAGTCTTTTATAAACTCGAGAAATCTCCTACTTCATAAATATATCTTTCGGTTAATGTAATTAAATTCATACACAAAATAAACATATTCCTTCCCGTCTGGTAAACCTAACAATATTCATTCGCAAAACGAGCAAAATTTCTTTTTACTCTCATCATAGCATTTCATAATTTTTAAAAAAGCGAAATTTATCTATTTTCTTTACGCATTTGAGAGAAGAAAAATATTGTATAAAGAAATCTTTTCTTCTTTAAAATTGATTATCAATGGCTTCATCTCATCACATATGGCTCTCGAAGATGAAATTTTTTATTTATTTTGTTTGTTTTCTGCATTTTTTTACACACCATCTTCCTAGCCATACATGTATTTATAATATGAATGAATTAAGATGAATGAGCGTTGAGATTTCTCGATACTATTCGTGAAATAGAAAAAAAAAAAAGATTTTTTTTATTATTATTATCCGATTTTATATCAATAAATACAATGATGGCATGAAAGAAATGTCCAATTGATCTTATAATGCATCACTTATGCTTGAACTAAGCATCTTAACTTTTCCTTTCGTTCCTACTAGCCTCATCTGATTAATTTTTTTTACGAATTGTTAAAAAAATCTTTTTCACTTTCTATTTAATTTTAAAACGAATTCTTTTCTTTTAATTTATCTTTATGATTTCATCTGTTTCGCTGACTGTGTACAATTATACATTTCTTATAAGCGTATCACCTTTATTTTATTATTTTTACGAAAGCCAAAAATGTAAGTTTAAAGTTTAAAAAGAAATGAATTTGTAAAGGCAACAATGTAGACTTAATTG